TTGACAATTAGCGGCATAGTTAAGGCATCATACTCTTAAGACTTTTTTTATAATTTGAATCACAGCTCAAACTTTAACTTTTTCTCGCATAAATTCACTTTTCGGGGCCTAAATGTAGCATAGGATTTATATTGAAAAAAAAAAGGATAAAATGCAAGCCAAATCCTTAAGAGAATAAGATAGATTGAGTGGCCGATGACACAACGCTAGTCGCTAGGAGGGAAAGGGCATTGCAAACCAGGCAGACGGGCTGCTTGGGGCTTTTAGGGGGGCGGCTGGTCTAGGATGGCAGAGATGGCAAACTTAAAAATGACAATATCTTTAAAAAAACGGCAATAAGTATATACGACATCATTATGAAACGAGAGTGTTTCTAGTTTCTAGAAAACAAGACAACCACATGTTCCAAAGCGACAACATTACTTAGAAAAGCAACATAATATAACGACATCTCTAACAAACGACAAAAAATGTCGCAAATGGCTAGAATTTTAGAAAAGACTATATTTTCAGAAAAACAACAGCCTCTCTCGAGCGAGAGTCATGTAATAACATTTATGAAAAAAGGAAAATAATGTTACAAACGACAAACAATCCACTGAACGACAATAATATAAAAATAACAAACGTTAGAAAACAACGACGAAGACATAAAAAAATATAATAAAAAAAAACCGAAAACAATAGGTAAACGACATAATCGTTTAGAAGGACACTTATTTTGTTTTACTTTTTGAAGGCAGAAGCACAACAGTTTTACCACTAAAATATAGGTATGTGTATACGTATAATACGTATGTAAAGGAAAGCACTACAATAAACGATAGGGAAATACAAAAGCGGCAATATTTCGTGAAAACGACAGAAATAATATTAAAGACAACATTTACGAGAGAGGACAAAACTCAACAAACAACATTACAACAATATATTTAGAAATGAAATTTCTAGAAAAATAAGAACAGACTTTAGAAAAGAAAAGGTCTCTTAAGACTCTTACAAACGTCAAAACTAAAGAACAATTACAACGTCCATATAAACGACATTCTACTAAATCATAGCTTTTACCAACAACGACACGATACATCTTGAAACAAAGAGTCCGTTTGATTTATGGATTTAAACTATGTGATTAGAACTATTTTCGATTTACGTGTATTTTTTGTGAGAGAAAATACTGTAGCGAATCACGAATCATCATTCAAATCAGGGAATAAATCTAGGTACCAAACAGACCCTTACACCGGTAAAAACAACGGTGTGGTAGGAGAACAACACACTATAACTAATCCAAACAAATATAAACACACACACACTAAAAGATACACAAAATAACCAAGTTCTCCAACAATCACCGGCAGAATCACCAAAGAATAAACTTATTAAGGAATTTGCCTGAGATTTGTGTAAAGTAATACCATACTTAAGAAAGAAGAGGAAATAAAGGAAGAAAGGAGGGAATATCATTTAAGAAATAAGTTTGAATTTGCACTTGAATAATTAATAATTGTGGTCACCCTGATTCACAAAAGACAACAAAGAGAATCAGTGCCATTTTTGTGGATAAGGGTGTCTACAATTATAAATTAATTGTTATTATAAATGTTCTAAAATAGACTCTTCAGTGTTGAAGTACTTTTTTTAACCTCTTAAATATATATTTACCGTTTTGCCCTTTGCATTTTCTTCACCGCACACGTTTTTGACTGGCCTTTTAGCTCCTGCTTTCTGCTTTTCTTCTTTCTGTCTGCAGATTCTTTGATTTTCTCCCTTTTCTTTTTGTTTATGGGTTAATCGGCCTTTAAGGTTTTCTTCCCTTGAATGTTCTACGCTTCATTTGTTATGCTTATGCTTTTTCCCCTTTTCTTCTCTATGTCTGCAGCCTCTTTGATTTCCCCCTTTTTCCTTTTGTTTATGGGCTAATCGGCTTTATTTGCTTTTCGCCTTCTTCTTCTCCGCATTTTTTGTTTCTCTTTTCGTTTGGGTTTCTTACCCTTTGCGTAAGAAAGTTTTCTGTCGGTGAAATTTCTGGGCTTCATTTCCTGTTTCGTTTACCTGAAATTGTTTCTTCTTCTTTTTCGTTTTCACTAAAACTTTGTCCTTCCCTTTCCTTTTCTCAGTCTCCATTTTTTCTAATATTTTTTTTCTTATTCTTTTTTCCATCGTCATTCTTCTGCTGCATTGTTATATCGTCGTGCTCTTTTCTTCTATTGCCACGTGTTGTCTCTATTCTGTAATATTTAATAATGGATATGTATTTTTTTGCTGTCTGTTGATTATTGGTTTATGTAATCGGTGGTTTTCATATTGGGTAAACCTGTTCTTAACTAATGATTACATCGCTTCATCTTTGTTTGCAAGAAGTCAATTAGCGGATATTTGTTTTTAAACTGCAGAATTTCTGTGTAACGAATTGATGTTTTACTGTCCGTTGGTTATTGGCTCTGTTTTATGATAGCTTTTATCTTGCGTAACACTTGTTATTGACGACATGTTTAGTTTTTTTATTGGGTTTTTAATTTGAGTTAGAGATATAATTTTAAGTGAAAATTTTTTATTATAATAAAAAAAAAATTAAATGTGAGTATTTTTTAAAATTTTTTATTATAATAAAATTTAAATTTTAATCGAATTGATGAAATAGATGGACGATAATTATGACCTTGGTTCATCTGTGTTTGCAGGATTTGTTATCGGGGGAATGAGAAGCACATGGCTTCTTTCTATATATATTTTTTGTAGTTTATTTTATGATTATTGTTGATCATTTTATCTCTGTTTTCGTTTTCAGATTATTACAATCCATCTTCTCTACCTTTTTTTTTTTCGTTCTCTCAGTTTTGAATACTGCGTTCTTCTTTTTCATTGTCTCTGTTTTGACTTTTTTGCCGCTGTCCTGCATCTACTCTGTTTACTTCTCTTCTTCGGCTGAGGTACTTAATTCTTTGTTTTTACATTCGTTTTTAAACTGTTTTATATATGTTAATTATTATATTAGTAAACTTTGTTATGTTAATATGTTAAATTTCTTTTATGTTTCCTTGCTGTATTACGTTCCTATGTTCGTGTTCTTCTTTAATTTGTTACTTTCATTTTTGTTTTCTTCTTCCGTTAAGAGTGTGTTTTTTCTCAATGATCTCTAATATTAAGTATTATCATTTCGCAGGTTTGATGTTGCCGGAATTATTTAGGATTTATGCCTTTATGCTTATTCTCCTGCTTTATGAACAGTTCATTTTTTCTTAAAAAATCTGTTCGCTTTTGGTGATGATGATTTTTTATCCTATTATTGTTGTCATCTATCAAGTAATTGTTACTAACGATTTAGTTGTTTTTGATGTTAGTTCGAATTATTGGAGATTTATATTTTTCTATTTTTCTTTACAAAGTGGTTGTTCTTTTAACAGTAATTGTTTTTTTTTTTTTTTTTTTTTCCTGTTTTTCAGTTTCAAAGATTTGCTTCTAGCCCGTTTGGTTGAAAGATTCGTTCTCTGATTTGAATCATGGTTCATAATTCGTTACAGTATTTTCTCTCACAAAAAATATATGTAAATCGAAAATGATTTTAACTATTTTGCCCTTATATGATCTCACTGTAAAGTTTTTGTTTTATATTTTTATTCTTGTGTTCTTTGTTTGGTATTTTTTTATATTTTAGCGCTTCAGCATATAGTGGGGTTGTTCTTTTGCATTTTTGAGTTAGAGTGATTTGAGTGATGATCTTGAGTTGAATTTGAGTTGAAGTTGTAACTTGAGTTTGTGTTTGGATATGCACATTTGAGTTATGATTTGAATTGAGAATCTTTTTGAGTTTGTGTTTGAGTGAGTCAAAACTTAAATTTGTATTTATATAGTATTTTGATAAAAACTCAATGGTGATGAAAAATTTTAATAGGATATATGGGTAGAATTTTATTCGTCTTTTCGTTGTGAATGCATAGAAAAAAAATTATCTGAATCAGAATTAAAACGAAAATGTTAATGACATTTTTAAGAATAGAAAAAATATTGTTCATTAACTCGAGTTTATGAACTCGAGTTGAAGATGAAACTTAAACTCGAGTTTAGCTCTAAACTCGAGTTCAAACTCAAATTTTACAAAAAAATATGAACTTAAATAAAATTACAAAAAAACAACCCAATATTTTTTTCCTTTATTGTTGGTTTTGCTTCTTTGCATTCAACTTTGAATGATGATGAACCTCTATTATATATACCTCCAACATCTTCTTCAATAGCTACACCATCAAATGCAAAATCTCTTACCATCAGAATTCTATAATATTTACTCTTATTGCAGTCATCACCATCCAACTATTTTACTAGAACATGATTCAACTTTTTCTGTTAGCTGATAAAAAAAAAAACAAAAACAAAAATAATCAGGTACTACTAATTTTTTTACATTCAAACGACTATTCTATTTAAAAAAATTTACTATTATCAATTACAATGCGTTGCTAACTCATATTCACTTCTTTCTTATTACAGCGCAGAAGAAACGCAGCAAAAATATGAGAAAAATAATATAGAAATTCCACGCAGGATATATGTACATATATGAACATTGTAAATAAATATGTATTATAATAACGACAATGCGCTATCTTCTTTTGTTCCAACTTTTTAATACAGAAATCCTGTGCAGGATATATGTACATTTATGTATTTATTCGTTCATCGTCTTTTGTTCTAACTTTTTAATATCATTTTCATACTCCTATTTTTTTTTTTAATTTTACAGTGTAATAACTTTTTTTTAACTAATTATTATATTATTCTATCTAATCTTATCATAAAATGAATAAATTAACATCCGTGCAACAGCACGGATGTCTCACTAGTTATTTCTATAAAATTCGAATCTGTTTCTCCATTCTTCCAATCTTATTTTTTCTCCACGTCTCTATTAAATTTTAATAAATTATTTTAAAGTCACCCTGATTGGATTTGTCGGGGTATCTTCCATAACTTACAATGTGGACAAAAACGATGAAAAATGATGAGCAAATTGAAAACAACATTACATTAAACAAGAAAACCTAGTGAGATCACGCCAGCTCAGAAAAGGATCGCAGAGCTTAAACATATTTCTCGAAGTAGCAATCAAGACACTCTATATTGTCCATTTGTTGTATTACAAAAGCTTACATACACAAAGAAAATGACATGAAACAGAACAACAAATAAAAGAGCTTAGGCAGCGGCAAAACCACGCAGTAGGAATATAGGCTTAATGCTTGGAAGTGGCACTGCAGATGGGGACAACATGAGGCTGCTGTTGGATGTTCTGCTGGCCCAGCATCTGGAGGTTTACGCGGGAGCAGGAGCGGGCTATCTCGCCGGCAAGAGGGACGACGGGGAGGTTGTCGCAGTTGCAGATTTCGATCATGAAACCGTCGGGGTCATGGAAGAAGAGCTGGTCTACTTGGATCCCGCCTTCTTCCACCACTGCCCTCACGTACTTGATCTCCATTTCCTTCAGCTTTTTCTCCACAGCCCCCATGCTCTCGCACTGCCCACGTTAACAAAAAAAAAAAACATATTAAGGTTCACATAATTTATTCGGTTAGAGCTTAGACTTCAGAATCATTTCATCGAACATCCGATGTACAACAAAAAAAAAAAAAAAAAAAAAAAAAAAAAAAAAATTGAATTTATTAGTTCAAGGAGTCACAATCTCTCACGTCAAGTAAAATATATGCTTTACTTGGTCATAATTTGAAAAGTAATAATTTCTTTCTTCAGTTTGAAGTGGAGAATTTGAACTGTTACACCTCTCGAAGAAACTTAAAAGTTTAGGTTTTGCATTAAAGTCGGAGCCAGGCATTAGTATACGATTAGATTATCCCTATCACCATGTTTGATTATAATTACATCTTTAACAAATTTTGTTTGCTTTCTCATTTGTATTCACCGGTCCACTATGTAACGAGATCTATTTAAATAGAGCAGTCCTACTTAAAAGAGACACTATCGATACTAAATACTATTATTAAAACACCATTATTAGTAAAAGATAAACTTTTTATTAGTGGACCCTATTTGTCTCCACTAGACTATGTCCCCGTCTTCTTAAGTACGGGTGGTGCGTCACCTACTTTAAAATATCGGTACCGTAACATATAACCTATAGATTGGACAAACATTCTATTAATCATGGTGTTTTCTATTAATAGTGCATTATGGATTCCGTTCTCCCATAAAAAAGTCCGGGTGGGATCCACCAGGAGGAGGGTCCGTATGAGTCCTGTAGTTGGGGCCACTCTCTTGGGGAGTAAGCATAGGGTTATACAACATTTCGCATTTAAATATTGTTGGGAGTATTGAATATATAATTTTTTTAAGAATTAGAAAGCTGACTAGTCTGGATTCTTCCATAATTTGTCCTGATTCACGGCTTCAATGTAATGATTAAAAAAATGGTGTCATGAACTCAAAATTAGCTGCCAACGATTAGTTGAAAGAATAGTAGAATTAATATATAAACAAAGTTGATCATCTTCATCTAATTGAGAAACTCAAATCTCGACCACAATTCAGGCATAAAAAGGAGATGATCATCACAATTTTAACTGATAATTACTAATTACCTGGAAGGAAATATGATTATCCTTGGGATTGATTACACTCTTCCTAGGCATATTGTCTGGGTCCTCGGACTGCAAAAGATGAATTCCAATTCCATGACCAAACAGCCTAAAAAAAATCATAATTTACATGCAAAATACATAAATTAATCATAACCGACAAACAAAAAAAATCAACGTGAGAAAATCAAAAACGGCAGTAAAAGATCTAATTTATGCCAAAATTACCATGCGCCATCAAAATCAAACGATCCAGGCCTTCTGATCGGGACAAAGCCAAGAACATTCTGGTAAAAATCAATGGATTCCACTAGTGATCTGCAGACAAGTGAGATGTGGTTCAAGGATTTTAGGTGCAGGGGATTTTCAACACTTTCCTTCATTTTTTTATTTTTCCCGAGAAAATCCCAACCAAGTACCACTCTAGTACTGATCTACAATTGATTTCTACAACGATTTTCCCAACAAAGAATCGGGTTACGTTATTCTCAAGTAGTAGAAGAGAGAAATTAGAAAGAAATCAAAGAATCAAAGATTAAGAAAACAAAATAATAAAAAATAACTGCTGTTGAAAAGGGAGTTATGAAAATCGAGGAGAGAAGAAAAAGGAGAACGTTGTTGAATTAGTTACGGCAATCGACGAAGTGAAACGGAGGAGGAGTTTGGTCTCTAAATATCAAAAATAGAGGCCACAAGAGACCTTCATGTGCGCCACGTGTCAATCCATGCAACGTGGCGGATTGATTTAGACCCTGACACGTAGATCACACGTTGCTGAGTCAGAAGCACATAACTTTGTCGTCTCTCTTTTGAGTCAGTTCCACGTAAGTCCACCTATTTTTTTATCGAAGATTGCTATTGGATAATAACTGATGTGGGCCCAATATGACTCTTTTATAATCAAATTTACATGAATTACGCGTGTAAGACCTATCATAAGAAAATTTGTTAACAGGTGATGTGTTCAGATCTCCGGTCCTCAAAATTAAAGAAAAATGATTTTTAAAATACCGTTTATGATAAGCATGAGATAAAATCTTATACTATATTCATTGCTTTGATCATCAATAATGCCCTTAGCATGATTTATCTCATAATAGTTCTGATGTTGACCATTAATGAAATAAATTTGGGAGTTTTTTTATAGTTCTCTAATATCTTAAAATTACATTAAATTAAAAAAATATATAGATATATAACTTTTGATACATATATAACCGTTAAAAATAAAAAATTATCGATAATTTATTTTTTGTTGTCCTAACAGAGAAGCTCCTATTTTATATTATATATCTAACTTTCTAATATTGACCAAGTAATTTTGTGATTTACTAAGTGATAAATATTTAGTGTCAATTGATACATAAATTTCTGAGGGATAATATCATTTTGGTACATTATATTATAGCGAAATATGCTTTTAATATCCTGTGTTTTTGATAATTTAAAACGGTATATTGACGTTTTTAAAAATATCTTTTTGATACCCTAAAATTGATTTTTATCACATATAATCTCCAAACTACCTTTCTTGTTAATTAAATAAAAATCAATATTTTGTTTAAAAAATCTAAAAATATTTTAGAACATTAAAATATTTCAAAAAACAGCAAAATAAAAAGTTCACAAATTTTTTTCTAGATTCATAGTTTTTGTAAATAAAAAGGTACTAAGGTTATTTTACGTCTCAAAAATCAACTTCAGAGTACTAAGCAGATGTTTTTAAAAGTTTTGAGGTACCATTTTAATATTATCAAAAATACAAAATACTAAGAGTATGTTTCGCTATAACACAAAGTATCAAAATGATTTTACCTAATTTCTAAATTTTACTAGTGAAAAAGTGACCGTTCATTCATCATATGAGTTAATATTAAAAATGGGATAGTAGCACTAGTTAAATTGTTAATTGGAAAAAATTATCAAGTTCATTGCCAAACAATTATTATAAAAACACGACATAATATTTATTGTTCTTTTTTTTTTAAGGTGACGTGAGATGAGTATTATTATTGTTATTTCCATTGGTGGTGTTTGAAGTTACATATGTGAATTGTCATGCGCCAGTAATATAGTATAGCGCCAAAGTGGTTGTTATAATATATTATTTTTGTGGATTAAGTATGTCCTAAACATTTTTGCTTCAAGTAGTATGAGAGCTAAACACATCCAAATATTCTAATAAGCTAGTGATACTTAACACGTTCTCTTTATTATATATTAATAAACACCACGATTAATTTGTTGCGATCTATATGTAATGAGCGAGTATTTTATTCACAAATCAAGTATTTTTTGAACTTGAGTATTTGTAAGTTTTTAAGTATTTTTCTTAGTTTAATGTGTTTTTATTTTGTTTTTGTAGGTTGAAGTTAAAATGGAATAAAATAGCGAAAATTTGAATTTGGAACATACTCAACATTTGGGGCATAACTTTGTCATTCAAAGTCCAAATGTGGTGATCTTGGTGGTGTTGGAAAGAAAAAAGATAGAGCTACAGCTTTTGTGAGACACCAAACACTAATTCGGCTATATAGGAGGCAAAAATCCTCCTCAAAATCAGACACCCGCTGCAGTAGGAAATAAATTCGCTGCAACGGATTTCCTACCTAAGACCAGCCCAAAACGCGCGTTGCAGCGCATGAATGGTGCGCTGTAGTGCCCATTTGCCTTCCCACTCATCCACTGCAGCGGAAAAATGTTCAGTTGTAGCTGTCGCGCCAGTTTCGTTAAAGGTTTTTCAAAAACCTTAGCGGCGTTATAGCGGAAAATTGATCCGTTGCAGCGCCTCCACACGAACACTGTCAATTTGAGTTGATTTTGAAAGATATAAAAAGGGAGAAGACTTATTTTTCCAATATGGTGGAGAATTGGGAAGGAAACACAGATAGAGAGCCAATATGAGTTGAAGATTCTTGGAAGATTCATGGTGGATTTTTGGAGGATTCAAACTTGAAGTTCATCTCCACAAGAGTTCCTTCTTCCTTTCTCTCACCCTAGGCTTTCTTGAGATTATATTTGTGGATATTGTGTTGAACATATTTTTATTTATGGATTTCTTGATAAGATTAGTTATAGATTTTCTATGTTGAGCTAGATTTCTAATGTTAGGGGGATTGATGTAACTTTACCATGGTAATGTTTTGAAAATTCTAGTGCTTGTTAAATAAAATCATTTCTAATCATTTGTGTTTTTTTTATACTTATTATCTAATTTGATTATCTATTGAATTAGAGAATTAGATATGTGAATTTAGTCTTGGGAAAGTCATTTGCACATATTGGGATTTGGGAAAAACAACCTAAATTTATTGAGTTTGGGAGGCCAATATAATTTGAGTGATCAGTAAATGGGTTTATGCTTAATAAACGCTTAATGGATGGGTTAATAGAAATATTACTTGATTTATTTTGTGTATTATTTTGCTCGGCACTCAGAACAGGGAGTGAGATTACATTAGAAAACCCGCGATTAATGATTAGAGTGAAATTTCTTAACAAGCTCTTGATTTAGATAGACATTGTCTAGTGAGTAAAATCAAAACCCCTAACTAGCCTTTATTATAGAGTTCCTTTCGACCCACCTCTTTTTACTTGTTTTATTAGTTTACTTTTATTGTTTTAATTTGTTTGTTCTCTCAATTAGGTTGCCTAAATAAAGTTGAATTACGATAATCACAGTGTTTAGCAGCAATCTAATACCCAATTCATGTAGAAACGATATTTATTTATCTGTTACTATCAAAACTTGACGCACTTGTGGGTTTACAATATGAAATTATGTGTCACGCGCGTACGTTTTGCGTTTCATTCAAATTATCATGTCTTCAATAAACTAATTAATTGAAAACTACTTAATTAGTGCACTCCAGAGTTTTCTAGTATTAGTATATCGTTAATACAACCCAATCTGATGTGAGATATATACGCAACTATAATATTATATGCTTCAATTTGCACGGCCCTACTATGATGTTTGCTCATGCCGTTAATGATTGATGAACGGTGAAGGGAAGTAGACTTGCTTTAATTTACTAACATAGGACAATAATTGTTCAAGTAGTAATATAATTATGCGAAGAAAGGCACCTTGCAATAGTGACTAACCTATAGTTAAGACGGTGTTAAGTGGGAATAAAGACAATATAATATAAGATGTACCGTAGTCTTACTCGTCATAACCAAAACCTATTCCGTGTATACATGACCAAAGAATTTTCATTGCGTAGATTCTTTTTGATATTTAAGATTGGTAAACGCAAAAAGTTTAGATTAACTCGGATATCATCATATATAATAACCCCATTTTTTTTTGTTTTTAAAGACTTAGACCTCATTTATTTTACTGATTTAAGTTTTTAATTTTAATTTTACTACAGTTAAAAACTCTCACAAAAATCACATATAACTTTTTAAACTATAGTTAAAAGCTCTTATATAAAGTGACATTTCAGTTTAAATTAAAAACTCGAATTAGTGAACTGAACTCGACTTTAAAGTTGTTTTTGCAATAAAGTTGTAATCACACATTTATCTCAATTCAAAAGTTGTTTTTGCAATAAAGTTGTAATCACACATTTATCTCAATTCAAAAGTTGTTTTTGCAATAAAGTTGTAATCACACATTTATCTCAATTCAAATAATGATAATCATGTATAGTACTTGAAATAACATATAGTGCAAAGAGAAAGGGTCGACATCTTTTTTTATCCTCTCTTTTGAAGCATTCCTTTTTTAGTGGAAGTGAACAATAATGAAGTTAAATCTATTGTTCTAGTTTTCTAGAGAACTTCCAAATAAAATGTTACAACTATATAGACAAGCACCTGGAGTGCAGCTTTCTTTTTCAGTTTTTGTAGCATGACCGAACATGACATGTTTGTACGATCAATATGCCTTCAAATAAAGACGAAAAATGGCCAAATGTTTTGTTTTGTTTTTTTGTTTTGTTTTTGTGTTCTCTGTAATGACTTCAGATGAGAAAATGATCTTAATAACACTTATTTCAAGAGTAATTGGTCTATGATTGGACCACGCATATTATTACCTACTGGCGGAGAGATGAAAGTGACTATAACGTCGTCAATATTATCTTTTCACATATATATAACTAAATTATGAATATGCAATTATGTGATTTGATCATACGAAAACGTTTAGTGGTCACTATTTGTATTATGATAATGCAAGTGGAAAACACGATCGTGCAGTTGTTATACAAGACGTCATGGCCAGTTTTTAAATGACATTTACATGTGTACACACACATATTGCTAATTAAGATTATTTTTAACCTGCTATACTCTCATGTGGTGTCAAGTTACAAATATTCTCGTGTACCCCATGTGTTTATCATCAGAGGTTTTACAGATCCTTGTTTGAATTAATATTCTTCATTTGTTAAAATACTATTAAAGTAATGATAAATGATGCATAATAAATGACTGAATTCTAATGATCACTTGCCATATGTGGCTATTATTAACTCTTTTTTCTTTTATTTAGGAGACGTTTGGTTCATGAATTAAAATTATGAGATTAAAATTATTTTTAATTTACGTATATTTTTTATGAAAAAAATATTA